GCTTTGGAGAGGGAGCAAAGTCTTGGCCTCGCCCCAAACCCCACAGGGTGGCAATATGAAAAGAGGCCTAGAGAGGCAGGGGCTGGAGCTCCACCTCCGGCCGCAGCTCCCTCCCGTCCCCTCCCTCCCACATCTCACCATTTGATGTCATCGTTGTGTCCCAGGTAGTGTCGCTGCCTCTGCTCCTCCACGCTGTATAGCACAGCCACGGAGGCCACAAAGTACACTATCTCCCCGGTGGGCAGCAAATAAAGATTGGCCCGGCAGTCTCGGCCACGGTAGCCATAGCTGGAGCCACCCAGGGGCCGGTTAAGGAATGTGTCTTTTTGTTCTTGTTGTTTGTTTTCTTTTTATTTATTTCTTTTTTCTTTTTTTTGGAAAAGTGGCACAATCTCAGCTCATTGCAACCTCCGACTCCCTGGTTCAAGCGATTCTCGTGCCTCAGCCTCCTGAGTATCTGGGATTACAGACATACGCCACCAAGCCCAGCTAATTTTTATATTTTTAGTAGAGACGGGGTTTCCCCATGTTGGCCAGGATGGTCTCGATCTCCTGACCTCATGATGCGCCCGCCTTGGCCTCCCAAAGTGCTGGGATTACAGGCGTGCGCCACCACACCCGGCCTGTTTTGATTTTTTAAGATGGAGTCTGTCGCCCAGGTTGGAGTGCAGTGGCATGATCCCAGCTCACTGCAACCTCTGCCTCCTGGGTTCAAGCAATTTTCCTGTCTCAGCCTCCCAAGTAGCTGGGACTAAAGGCACATGCCACCATGCCAGGCTAATTTTTGTATTTTTAATACAGATGGAGTTTCACCATATTGGTCAGGGTAGTCTCCAACTCCTGACCTCAGGTGATCCACCCACCTTAGTTTCCCAAAGTGCTTGGATTAGAGGCATGAGCCACTGGCACCCGGCCAAGGAATGTATTTTGCATCACATACATTGGCTGAGGACCAGACTCAACAAGCTCATTGGAATGAGGTTTTTCTGTTTCCACTCTCACCCCTGTAGTGGGCTGATGGTTCCCTCCCACTCCAAAAAAAACATGTCTGTTTCCTTTGTTTTTTGTTTTTTTATTTTTGATATGGAGTTTTGCTCTTGTTGCCCAGCCTGGAGTGCAATGGCGTGATCTCGGCTCACGGCAACCTCTGCCTCCTAGGTTCAAGAGATTCTCCTGCCTCAGCCTCCCAAGTAGCTGGGATTACAGGTATGCGCCACCATGCCCGCCTAATTTTGTATTTTTAGTAGAGACAGGATTTCTCCACATTGGTCAGGCTGGTCTCGAATTCCCGACCTCAGGTGATCCGCCCGCCTCGGCCTCCCAAAGTGCTGGGATTCTAGGTGTGAGCCACTGAGCCCAGCCTATGTCTGTTTCTTAATCCCCTCAACTTGCAAATGTGACCTTACAAGGAAAATGAGTCTTTGCAGATATAATTATAGATCTCAAGATGAGATCATCCTGGATTATCAGAGTGACCCCTAAATCCGATCACAAGTGTCCTTATAAACGACAGAAGAGGCAACCTCAATCTCCTGGGCTTAAGTGGTCCTCCTGCCTCTGCTTCCCAAATAGCTAAGACTACAGGCATGCACCACCATGCCCAGCTAATTTTTAAAATATTTTTTGTAAAGATGCAGTCTCGCCATGTTACCCAGGCTGGTCTCAAACTCCTGGGCTCAAGCAATCCACTTGTCTTGGCCTCCTAAAGTGCTGGGATTATAGGCGTGAGCCACTGCACTCAGCCTCCCTGGCTAATTTTTTTTTTTTTTTTTTTTTTTTTTTTTTGAGACGGAGTCTTGCTCTGTAGCCCGGACTGGAGTGCAGTGGCCGGATCTCAGCTCACTGCAAGCTCCGCCTCCCGGGTTCCCGCCATTCTCCTGCCTCAGCCTCCCGAGTAGCTGGGACTACAGGCGCCCGCCACCTCGCCCGGCTATTTTTTTTTTGTATTTTTTTTTAGTAGAGACGGGGTTTCACCGTGTTAGCCAGGATGGTCTCGATCTCTTGACCTCGTGATCCGCCCGTCTCGGCCTCCCAAAGTGCTGGGATTACAGGCTTGAGCCACCGCACCCGGCCTTTCCCTGGCTAATTTTTTTAAAAAACTTTGTAGAGATGGGATCTTGCTTTGCTGCCCAGGCTGATAGTTATCTGGTTTATTTGTTAACTGCTCATATTCCCTGATAAGACTGTGAGTTCCATGGTGGCTGAGATTGGGCTGTTCTTTTCATTTCTGTATCTCCTCCTCCAGGAAGCCCTCCATGACCCCAGGCTGGGTCAGCCCCATCCCTGTGGATTCCCCATCCCAGCCTTGCACACTCTGGGTTGTCACTCTCAACGAGTCTGTTCCCATGCTAGACTGTATGCCCCAGGAGGGCAGGTGGATGCTGTCATGGTCAGCACTGGGTCCCCAGCCCTATGTCGCAGATGTTCAGAAAATATCTGAATGGGCCAAGCACGGTGGTTCACGCCTGTAATCTCAGCACTTTGGGAGGCCGAGGCAGGTGGATCACTTGAGGTCAGGAGGCCGAGACCAGCCTGGCCAACATGGCGAAACCCTGTCTTGACTAAAAAAAAAAAAAAAAAAAATTAGCCAGGCATGGTGGCGCATGCCACCCAGCTACTCGGGTGGCTGAGGCAGGAGAATGGCTTGAACCCAGGAGGTGGAGATTGTAGTAAGCCAAGATCGTGCCACTGCACTCCAGACTGGGTGTCTCAAGAACAAGAAAATACCCGAATGATTGTCAGTATACATATATCCTGACCCAGTGGAAACTGCTCTGCCCTGCAGTCACTGCAGAGGGGAGCAATCTGAGGTCCACGCTTTTGCAGTCTCAGCCACCTCTCATCAGATGCTTATCAAGCCCCACTGGCAGGACATTCGGGACAGATTCCAGGGGATGTTTCCAGCTGCCTCGAGAAGGCTCTGGGCTCCCAGAAGGCCAGGCCATTTCACCAACCACCCTGTCTCCTCCAAAGAGTAAACCAAGGCTCAGAGAGAAGCAGACACGGACCGGATTCCTGGGGTGTGGACTCCAAGCTCAGTAGGCTTTTAGGAAAAAGTTTGAGTCCCAGAATCAGGATTCTTGTCCCGATCTATAATCTCAGTTTCCGTATCTGGAAAGGGGGGTATAATAATTTCCAAACTGTAGGTCGCGGAGAGCTCTCGGAGGCCACTAGTTGTAAAAAAACAAATTCATACCTGGAATAACTTAGAACAGTGTCTGTCACATAGTAAGTGCTTGCGTTATTATTATTTTGAATTTTTTGTTTTGTTTTGTCTTTGAGACAGGGTCTCACTCTGTTGTCCAGGCTGGAGTGCAATGGTACAATCATGGCTCACTGCAACCTCGACCTCCCAGGCTCAAGTGATCCTCCCACCTCAGTCTCCAGAGTAGCTGGGAATCACAGGAGCATGCCACCATATCTGGCTATATATATATATATTTTTTGAGATGGAGTTTTGTTCTTGTGGCCCTGGCCGGAGAGCAATGGGGCAATCTCGGCTCACTGCAACCTCTGCCTCCTGGGTTCAAGCGATTCTCCTGTCTCAGTCTCCCGAGTAGCTGGGTTTACAGGCACATGCAACCACGCTCGGCTAATTTTTATATTTTTAATAGAGATGGGATTTCATCATATTGGTCAGGCTGGTCTCAAACTCTTGACCTCAGGTGATCCTCCCGCCTCGGCCATGAAATTCATTTTTCAGAGAAGGCAATTAACACACAGAGTCAAGGCGACTTTTCCAGGGTCACACAGCCAGCTACGGGCTGGACTGGGGTTTGATCCCATCTCTGTCAGACTCCAAAGCCTGGGCTCCCAGCCATTCCCAACTCATTGTTGCTCAAATGCACCATTTCCACTCTGGTCACACAGCCCTTGAACGTGCTGTACGTTTTTTTGTATGTTGCCCAGGCGGGTCTCAAACTCCTGGCCTCAAACGATCCTCCCATCTCAGCCTCCCAAAGTGCTGGGATTACAGGCCTGAGCTGCCTTGACCGCCTTTCTATTTCCTCTTGAAGGGATGGGAGCACTGAGGGGATTCCAGAAAAGGATACACCCAGTCCAGCTTGAGCCGGCAAGAAGGCAGCTCTGAGCGTGTGTCCAGGCTGTAGGTGGGTGCCAGCTCATCTGGGATCAGCATGGGCACAGGGCGGCCCCTCAGGAACATTTTCACGGAGCCATCCTCTGCCAGGACACCCCCAGAGGTCAGGCACTGACACCAGTCCCATCCCTATTCCCTCTCCTCTTCCAGCTTTTTTTTTTTTTTTTTTTTTTTAAACGCAAGGAAACTGAGGCCAGAAAGGCAAAGACCCAGTAGCCAAGATTCCTGACCTCTGGCTCCAGCCTGTCACCCCAGCAAGCAAGCTTCCACCAAGCCCTTCCCCATCTCCCCACTCACCCACACTGAAGATAACTTCTTTGGTTTTGCTGTCAGGAAAGGACAAAGAAAAACAAAAGGTCTTAGCAGTCAGGTCAGAAAAGGGGAGAAACCATTCCTCCTCCCCACCGCTCCCCGGAGGTCTCCGATGAAAACGGGGCGAGTAAGGGGCAGAGCGCTGCCTCTCTGCAGGCCGTGTGCTTTGCTCGGTTGATCTTGCAGAGCCTAAGACACAGGCCCAGAGAGGCAGTGATCGCCAAAGATCACACAGCACGAAGCGGCAGGGACGCGATCCTGAAAGAAGGGAGTCACCAAGGACCCTTCCCTCCTAATCAGCACGGTGCTCCCAACGCCCCCCACCCGCAGTCCCCCAGCACCCCAAACGTCAAGCAGCGGGAGAAACCTGGAGAGTTTAAGGGAAGGGGCGTGTCCCCACGCCGGCCTGGGCCCCAGGGGATGGGGGAGACCTGAGATCTAAGCCCCGGGAGCGCGGAGAGGAGATAGGGGGTCGTCTGCAAAAGGGTCTCACCCAGCTCCAAAGCTACTCATGGCGGCGGCTGGCGGAGCTTCAGGGCCGGGGGTGGAGCCGGGACCGGCTCTGCCGCTTCCGGCCCTGGGAGGCACCCGGACCGCCGCGCCCCTGCCCCGCCCTCCACGGCCGCCCCTGGAGCCGGAGGGTCCCACTGGGTCACACATCCCGGATTATGGACTCCCGATCCCAGGTTCTTTCAGGGTGGGTGGGGGAGAGTGGTTGAGAAGACGGACTCGGGAGCGCGCCTTGTTAAGTTAAAACCCCCGTTCTGCTAATTCCTACCAGTGTACATAGGTCGTTCAACCTCTGCCTCTGTTTCCTCATTTTAAAAATGGGGATAATAACAGTACCCGGCCGGGCGCGGTGGCTCACGCCTGTAATCCCAGCACTTTAGGAGGCCGAGGCGGGCGGATCACCTGAGATCAGGAGTTCAAGACCAGCCTGGCCAATGTGGTGAAACCCCATCTCTACTAAAAATACAAAACTTAGCAGGGCGTGGTGGGTGGCGCCTGTAATCCCAGCTACTTGGGAGGCTGAAGCAGGAAAATCATTCGAACTAGGGAGGTGGAGGTTACAGTGAACTAAGATTGTGCCACTGTGCTCCAGCCTGGGCAACAAGAGCAAGACTCTGTCTCTAAATAAATAAATAAATAAATAAAGATAACCCACACCTCCAGGGGATAGTTGAGAGGATGAAATTGGTTAATTATTGGGAAGTGCCTGGAGTATACATAACGCTGTATTTGTGTTTGCTGTTTGAGCAGAGTTGAAATGTGCAACTTTTGACCTTGGTCTTGCCCTTGGGTGGCCTCCTAGCTCTGACCACGCCCACTACACCATAATTCCAGCTTTAGGGTGATTTTTATTTTGTTTTGTTTTTGATACAGTGTGTTGCTCTGTCGACCAGGCTGGAGTACAATGGCGTGATCATGGCTCACTGAAACCTTGAATTTCCTAGGCTCAAGTGATCCTCCCGCTGCAGCCTCCCAAGTAGCTGGGTCGACCGACAAGCTCAGGCCAGCACGTACGGCTATTTTCTTTCTCTCTCTCTCTTTTTTTTGTTTTTTTTGTTTTTTATTTGTTTGTTTTAACTGAGTCTCGCTCTGTTGCCAGGCTGGAGTGCAGTGGCGCGATCTGGGCTCACTGCAACCCCCGCCTCCTGGGTTGAAGTGATTCTCCTGCCTCAGCCTCCCGAGTAACTAGGACTACAGGCACGTGCCACCACGCCCAGATAATTTTTGTATTTTTAATAGAGAAGGGGTTTCACCATGTTGGCCAGGATGGAGATCTTGTGAAACACCCGCCTAGGCCTCCCAAAGTGCTGGTATTACATGCGTGAGCCACCACGCCAGGCCTAATTTATTTTCATTTTTAGTAAAGACGAGGGCTCGCTATGTTGCCCAGCCTGGTCTCGAACTCCTGAGCTCAAACGATGATCCCGCCTCCGCCTCCCAAACTGCTAGAATTATAACCTCAGGTTTTTACTCGGTCCAGATCTTCAGTATGGCCCCGCCTCTGGAGTTGACCACACCTGTCATTCTGATCTCAACCACCTGCTGCCTTCTAACCCTGTCCCTGAGTTGACTCAGTCGCTTGAGAATTGACTGCTACCTCCCCGCAAAGCTCCTTCTCCGGCCCGCCAGGCATTCTGACTACGTCCATTTTCTTTTCTTTTTTCTTTTTTTTTTTTTGAGATGGAGTCTCGCTCTGTTGCCCAGGCTGGAGTGCAGTGGCCGGATCTCAGCTCACTGCAAGCTCCGCCTCCCGGGTTTACGCCATTCTCCTGCCTCAGCCTCCCGAGTAGCTGGGACTACAGGCGCCCGCCTCCAGGCCCGAAATAGTTCTTTGTATTTTTTAGTAGAGACGGGGTTTCACTGTGCTAGCCAAGATGGTCTCGATCTCCTGACCTCGTGATCTGCCTCGTTATTACAGGCTTGAGCCACCGCGCCCGGCCTTCGTCCATTTTCACGTACTCCTTAGTTGAGTACCTTCGAGGCCTCCAAGTTGGCTCCACCTCTTGCATTTGACCACGCCCCTACGGCCCCGCCTAACCTTTAAACCACGCCCTTTTCCACCAGGCAGTGTCCCCTGATTTTGATGTCAAGGCTTCTGGAATCTGGCATGCCTCCCCTTGGTCTCGGCCTCTGTTACCCCGTACCCCAGGTTTTAATTTCGCCCAGGCGAACACTCTGGCCGCACCCTTAAATTTCTCAGACTCCCTCTTTCCTTGCAGAAACTCAGTGGCTGCTCCCTTGACTTCATCCCTGAAACTCAACGGGACCTCTCCTTTACTTTAATAACCACGTCCATAAGCCAAGCTCCTCCCTGACTTCCTCGCCCTGTAGACCTGACTGTCCAGCTCCTAAAAACTCTGGCCACGCCCCTCAAATATTGACTCCGCCCTCCCAGACCTTCCTCTGTTACCGTGCCACCTCAAGATTGGTCCTTCCAAGGCTCTGGCACTGTCCCCGCATTTGAACCAGCTGGCCCCACTCTAGGTTACGACCTCGTGGCCTGGGGCATGACTACATTTCTCGACCACTTCCTATCTCTTTCTGCTGCTTGACGCCGCCCCAGTCCTTACCCTTCCTTTTTGGCGCTACAGTTGCTGCTGGAGGATGTGGTCCGGCTGCGGGGGTCCTCGCGGCGCACCGAGGCCAGGCGCTCTGGTGACAAGTAGCGGCGGACACTGCTAAAAGAGAGCACACAGTTGGGGGCAGAGCCTTCGAGGCCAGCAGGCAAGTGCCATGAGCGGTCGACATCCTCCCTGCACCTTCTGCTGCTGGAGCTCAGGCAAACAAACCACCTCTGTCTCCCACGAGGTCTTGGAAGAGGCTGGGGGTCCCGGCCTTGTGCCTTACCTGCGCCCGGAGGTCGCCTCCTTCTTGGGAGAGGATGGGGACGTGGCATAGCCACCCACGCGCCGCGGGGGTCCCGAGCCATTAAGGGGCGTCCTGGTGGGAAGGCCTTTCAAGAGCTGACACACTGGAGGGATGGGGACAGAAGAGGGTGAGTGTGAGGACCAGGCCCCGGTCCTCCCCATCCCACCCCTCCAGTCTAACCGGGATACCCGAGGCAGTGGTGCCTAAGCGCGGAGGCGCCCGGCCCTTGGGGGTGCCCCGCGCGCGGAGCGCAGCTCCCTGTTCTTCGCACGCCCGCAGGCGACGCAGAGCATCCGCCAGCGCCGCCTTTAGGACCGCCAGCTCGTCTTCCTGTAACTGCAGCCGCTGCTCCAGCGCCGACACGCGGTCGTCCACTTCCATACCGCTCGTGCCCGACAAATTGTCATCTGAAAGACGGGGGAGTGCCCGCTGCAGGGCCACCCAGGAGCTCCAGTACCCAACGGGTCCCTCCCGCCTTCCTGGGTCAAAGCGAGGGGGCCAGCCACGCCCCTTTCCTGTCCCGCTACCTGAGGCTGGGACACTTGGAGATGGGCCAAGGAAGAGGACTCTGAAGGGGGAAGGAAATCCCCACCGCTCTCCAACCCATCCCCACACTCCTCTCTGCTGCAGCGCGCTGGCCCTGTGACCTTGGGGAAGTCCCTTCCATCTTATTTTCTAAGATTCTGTGAACCCAGGAGCCTCTCGCTCTGGCTTTAAGATTCTATGACTAAGACGTGGCCAGGCACGGTGGCTCAGGCATGTAACCCTAGCACTTTGGGAGGCCGAGGCGGGCGGATCACGAGGTCAGGAGATCGAGAGCATCCTGGCCAACACGGTGAAACCCCGTCTCTACTAAAATACAAAAAGAAAAAGAAAAAAAAAAAAATTAGCCGGGCGTGGTGGTGTGTTCCTGTAGGCCCAGCTACTCTGGAGGCTGAGACAGGGAAATCACTTGAACCCGGGAGGTCAGAGGTTGCCATGAGTCAAGATCACGCCACTGCACTCGCACTCCAGCCTGGCGACAGAGCGAGACTCCGTCTCAAAAAAAAAAAAAAAAAAAAAAGATTCTATGACTAAGACTTTAAGTATCTATGAGTGATAAGAGCATTTGCAAAATGACACACTAACCTACTCCTAATGACACTAAAGTTCTAGAATTGATCCCCAACATCCTCCGACGAAGATGATGTTATGAATACCAACGTCTCTTCGCTGTTTCTAAGACTTTCCCAGTCAAAAGGTCGTGCCTAGCCTCCCCATGTCCCCTCCTCTCCTCACCCTGGGGTTCGACCCTAGAGCCAGCTGCAAGGACAGAGCTTCGGCGGCCCCTGGCGGCGGACTTGGGGGTTGCAGGCAGCGCATCGCAGACCCAGAAGACCCAAGGGAGAATGCAGACGGGGATGACACCTAAACTCTTCCCCAGCAGGCATTCCTCTTTTCTGTTCTCCTTCTTTATTTCGCCTCTACCCCACGCCCCAGATTTGGCTCTCCAGCCTATAGATGCAACCAAAATGACTCCCCGAGTGGCCCCCCCAACCCCGCTCATTTTCCCAAAGTGGGAGGGGCGGAGACCCAAGGGGTCCCTCTCCCCCTTTTCCCCCAGAATACTCATACCCAGACTCATTGCTGACCACAACCAAGGAAGCCCTGGTTCCCAGCCTGGTGGAAGTAAAGGTGGTAGCTTAGACAGGGACAGGGCGTGGAGCTCGCACCTGCCATCCCGCGTCCATAGGCCGCCCAACTGGCCCTCTGGGCTCCGCAGTGCAGCCGCCGCTCCTCCCTCCTCCCCCCCGTAGCCCAATCGCCTGCCGAGGCTTGTCCGCCCTGCCCCCAACTCAGCGCCTCCCAGGTCCGGTGCCTGGACCTGCAGAGGGAGATGGGAGCCTCCTGAGGTCAGAAGGAGTGAGCCGTCAGCACTTAGAGCTCATAACAGTGGGAAACCTCTAGGGGTCTTGTTGGCATCAAGTTTTGCAAACGGGAAACTAAGGAAGGAGGCTAGCAGGAGTGTGCAGAGACACGCCAAAGATCACCCAGCCAGTAGGTGGGGGCGGGGGACCCAGTCACCTCCTTTGCTCAGCCTGGTCCTACCTACCATTAATAATACGACCAGAAAAAAATGGCATCTGATACCGTGAGTTTACATGTGCCAGGCGCTGCTCACACAAAACACTTAGCGCGTTCCTAGCTCATGTTAATACTCGATAAATCCAGAATAGGATTAACTATTTTTATGATACCTAATGCTTTTGGCAACTCTAGTAGTCGTAGTGGCATAATCCATTTTAGGAGGAGAGGAGGAGGAAGGGTACTGAAGCCCAGAAAGGTGACGTTACTTGTTACATGCACACACAGCCGATCAATGCAAGAACCCATACTCAACCCAGGAATGGCCACCCTGTCATTCTGGCTCTTAGAGGGAGAGAGGAGGACAAAATAAGCATTCTGGGTCCCCTGCTAATTCCAGTGGTCCCTGGCACTAGGGTGTGTGCCCAGAGGACTGAACCTCCAAACTGAGTTAAATAGAGGTGCTTTCATCTTGACACTTGTGCCCCACCCAGAGCGGCCAGTTGCACTGTCAGGCCTTGGCCAGCCCATCCTGCCAACCCCCACACCTCCACCATCCCCACCCCTGTGACTCAAGCCCTCTGCTCCCTCCTGACCATCCCCCCATCCTCAGCCCTTTTTCCCAGAGACCAGGCCTCACTTCCCACTTTTCCCTCCCAACTCCCCTCTTCTCCTATCTCCCTTCACCTGAGCCTGACACCCACAGTGGCCCTTCTGGTATCACACGCATTTGTCTAGGGAGAAGGGATGGTTCTAATGCACGGGAGGGCCAGGGCCAGAGGATTTGGGAGGTATCCTAAAGGCAAAGTCCTCTGACTGTCCCTTTCCAGTGCCACACTCTGCCCTCAACTCAACACCAAATCCATCCCCACCCCCTCTGTCTGTCCCCCTGCCACGGAGATAGGGGAGCGTTCCAGAAGCTTGAAGGGAGAAAGGGCAGAGTTCCAGGCCCAATCGACTCCCAGGTCCTTCCCCCTTCCAATCCCTGGTTCCTTCGTGTTCTGCCCTTCTCTCCTCTCCGTCTAGTCACCTCTGGAGTAGCGGAGGATCCAAGTGGATGGGGGGCTGGGATCTGGGTTTTGGGGGCCAGGGACCTTCTCTTGGGTCAGGGTGCTGCTGAGGGAGAGGAAAGGGGGATCTTCAGCAAGGGAGGGGGATGGGGACTTGGAAGGAGGAGGTTGGGGCAAGAAGAGATGGGTCCAGCCTTGGGCGGGGCCAAGGTCGGAACTGAGGAGGGGTCTCACCGTTGCAGTATTGCAGCAGCGAGGACGTGTCGTACAGGCCGCAGAAGGCCGGGCCGCGCTCCGCCATCGTCCCACCACAGCCACCGCCGGCCCCCCCGGTCCCAGCTCGGGCACGGTCCCCCCCACCAGGCCCTGCCTCCCGTTGCCATAGCAACGCCCTTCGTTCCAGCATCCCCAGCTCAGCTTGCCTGGCATCAGGCGGCCAGCGCCGGGCCTGGCGCTGGGGTCATCCCCCAGGATGCCCAGAAGAGGGGGTAGGACACCCCCTGCCAAGCCCCCCAACACAATCCTCGGGCCAGGATTGGCTGCGCCCAGATCCCCCTAGGTACCTTCTGGTCCCGCCCACAGCCAGAGTGTTTTCTCTCTAGACCCCCCTCCTCGCCCTTTCAGAACCAATGAGAGACTGTCGCGCAGGGCCTTACACCAATAGGGATGCAGAGGGATTGGAAGGGGCAGGGCCTCTCCTTCTTTCAGCCTGAAGCGCAGCCCCGAGCTCCGGGAGGAGGATGGGTTGGAGGTAGTCACTCCCCTATCCCCAAAACCTTCTCTTCAGATTTTCATTGGATTTTCCAAAAGCTCCCTCCTTAAGAACAGGGCCCGACCTTACAGCCCCAAACCCGCTCAGGGAGCTCTTGTTTATTACATCTAGGCCCACCCCCAGGCTCTTAGCCCCACCCCCGGAATCTTGCGGGTGCTAAAGTTTTATTCCTGCCCACAGAATCATTAGCACTGCCCCCTGAACCTCCAAGGGTTTATAGTATAGTACTTCTCCAGAGAGGACCTTCTTATAGGATTAGTTCCGCCCTCGGAATTTAAATCCCTCCCCCATCGGTCTGTTAGTCCCTCCCCAACCTTCCCCACCACTCTGTCTGCGGCCCCAGGCCCTTAACTGCGCCCTTAGAGCCGTGGCCTCCCACAACCGTATTATCCACTCCGGGCTTTGGCACAGGCCCAGCTGTGAGGCTTGGACTAGCCCGCGTGTCAGGCAGAGATGGCTCGAAAGTTGTGGGGTAAAAGGGGAGGGTAGAAAACCCGACAATGGATTTCAAGAATATTGGACCGCCTTCCCCAAGTCTCCAACGAGGGTAAACACCTAGAGTATAGGCAGGAGAAGTGAAGTCTAGAGTCGAAAAAGAACTCCCTCTGGACACAGAGACAAACAGTAGAAACTTTGGAACCAGATTGACCTGGGTTTGAATCCTGACTCCTCCACTGTCTGGTTTCGTGACCCAAAAGCTCCAGTTCCGCATCTGGAAAGTGGGGCCTCATAATCGTGCCTGCCTCATTCATTCATTCAAAAATGTTTACTGAGTGCCTAACGGGCCAGGCTCTGTTCTAGGTGCTGAAGTTTCAGGAGTGACTAAGTGAACCTATTTCCTCTCATGAATCGTTCATTCAATGCAAGAGGTAAACAATCATACACAAAATAAATAACAATACCTAACGTTTAATCAGCAGTCATTATGGGCAAAACACTGAGTTATCCTCACCAAAAGCCCTATTTTGTTGTTGTTTGTTTGTTTTTGAGACGGATTCTCGCTCTGTCGCCCAGGCAGGAGTGCAGTGGTGCAATCTCAGCCCACTGCAACCTCCGCCTCCCGGGTTTAAGCGATTCTCCTGCCTCAGCCTTAGGAGTAGCTAGGACTACAGCCGCGCGCCACCCCGCCCAGCTAATTTTTGTATTTTTAGTAGAGACGGGGTTTCACCATGTTGGCCAGGATGGTCTCGATCTCTTGACTTTGTGATCTGCCCACCTCATCATCCCAAAGTGCTGGGATTACAGGCGCAAGCCACCGCGCCCAGCCTATTTTTTTATATTTTAAAAATATTTTGTAGAGAGGAGCTCTTGCTATATTGCCAAAGCTGGTCTCGTACTCCTGGCCTCAAGTGATCCTTCGGCCTGGGCCTGCCAAAGTGCTGGAATAATAGATGTGTCTCACTCACTCTTGCCCTGCCTGTGATGCAGTGGCATGATCTCGGCTCACTGCAACCTTCACCTCCCAGATTCAAGCGATTTTCGTGCCTCAGCCTCCCCAGCAGCTGGGATTACAAGTGTGCACCACCATGCCTGGCTAATTTTTTTATTTTTAGTAGACACAGGGTTTTACCATATTGGCCAAGCTGGTCTGTAACTCCTGACCTCAAGTGATCCTCCCGCCTCAGCCTCCCAAAGTGTTGAGATTATAGTCGTGAGCCACCGCGCCCAGCAAAGGCCCTATTTTAATCACCATTTTAGAGATGATGATACAGAAACAGCATGGCAGTGGCTTACAACCTGTTAATTCCCAGCACTTTCGAAGGCCAAAGAAGGGGGATTATAGGGGCGCGAGATCAGCCTGGGCAACAAAGCAAGACCGTGCCGCTACAAAACAAAATTTCTTCCTTTTTTTTTTTTTTCTTTTGAGATAGAGTCTTGCTCTTGTGGCCCAGGCTAGAGTGCAATGGCACAATCTTGGCTCACTGCAACCTCTGTTTCCCGGGTTCAAGCAATTCTCCAGACTTAGCCTCCCGAGTAGCTGCGATTACAGGCACCCGCCACCACGCCTGGCTAATTTTTTTGTATTTATTTACTTA